TGAAGGAGCTCCGAGCCCTGGATCCCAGCTCCCGAATGTCTCTCTTAAATGATCTTGTTTGCCGAGAAAAACTCGGTGACTGAGTTTTTCAGTTTGCTTAGGAGAAAAAAAGGGTCACCGAAGAAATACATCTCCCAGTTCTAAAGAAAGCTGTGTCCTTCCTTCCCTTGGGTTTCACTGCCCCGCCATCGGCCAGTCTTCTACAAACTGTCCATGAAGACAGAAAAGACTGCAACCATGTCTAACACCAAAAGCAACCAAAATGCACGGAGCTTCTCTCTCTCATCTCCCCTTCAGTATCTCTTTCCATAGTTGTTTTTTGGTGTCATGTTTTGTTTTTTTTTTTTATTATAACTTTCTTTTTTCAAAGGGGCAGTGGCCACCCGCGAGCTCATCACTTCTCAGCCAGCAACCCTTCCCCTCCCGCAGCGGGCGGACGGCTCTCCCAGGAAGGCAGGTCGGTTCAAGCACTGACAGCGAGCAAAAGAAAATCTGCCTTTGTCTTCTCTGAGCTGCTGTGAAGGCAGGCCCTGGCTCTGACCCTTCAGATCTGCAAATACCTCAAAAGCTGCAGAAGACGGAGAGGTACTGCAGAAGATAATGGGACAAAGACGGTGGAGCCCTGGGGAAACTGAGATTTTAAACCATGTATCTTTAGCCTCAAATGCCGCCGTTCCTGACATTTGAGGCAATGGAGAAGCCCGGCCTGGCATTGCCATCGCCTTATGAAGAAAAGCGATGAAGTGCAGCAACTGGGCAACCGAACGGCGGCAGAAGCCACCTGTCCTGCCTCCGGCCAGGCTGCCGTGCTGCGGGCACAGCCGGGTCTGGTTTTTCCGTGTCAGCTCCACCTGATACACAGGAAACAAACAGCTGAGACTGGAGTGTTACTGAAAAATATCTCCTGCTTTCCTACGAGTCCTTGGGAAGGCAGCAGTCCAGGTGGGAGCCGGACGCTAGAGTTCTGCATGGGGCACTTGTGAAGTCCCTAATAGCTGTTGGCTGGGTGAACGCTCCTTCTTGATCAGGGCTTTCTTAATTCAAATTTCCCATGACACTGATCCCAAATCCCTGAGCTTTCATCTGGCTTGGCTGGCCAGTAACACATTGGTCCTTAAAAAAAGTTTCTGTGAACAGGCTCCCGGGAGTTTGGCAGAAATCACCTGCAATAAACCCAAGGCGAAGAGCAAGTCCCCAGTGCAACCACTGCACTTTGGCTGCCAAGAGCTGAACTTGGGCTAGCACCTTAACGTCACAGTCGGACCCTCCTGGGGAATGCTGGGCTCGAAGAGAAGCACCTTTCAGGACAACGATCACCACAAGCCTTTTCCCACACCCCCTTTATAACTGACCAAATCTTCAAGTCTTTCCTGCATCACTGAACACGTGGCCTGATGAAATGCCCAACATGAGCAGGGAGGGGGATCAGACCCTCTGCAAGGAACCAATCACTTTGCAAAAGACTGGTCATCCATCAGGAAGAATAATATTGGTAAGGCTCTTGAAAAGCATCACATCTTGCCCAAAACTGAATGAGAGATTAGAAGGAGCCTCTGCTTAAAGAGTATGCTGTAAAGATGATGTCTGCTCTGGGAAGTCTAAACGTACCTCCAGCCCGCTGCCTGAGGAGCACAGCCATGGATGACATTGCCATGGATGACATTGCCACGGATGACATTGCCACGGATGACATTGCCACGGATGACATTGCCACGGATGCGTGTTTCTGAAAAAATGTAAAATGTCTGTGTGGACAGGCCAGGTAGTGAGACACAAAGATGTCTCTCACAGAGAGGAAACAAAATGGTCCTAAATTGAGAATAGAAGATTTAGATGAATCTCACACTTCTTTCATTGTGGATAGCCCCGTCAGCCTCGCACTCCTCCAAAGCTGCAAGTTAAAATCCTTGCAGTGACTATCGAGGGGAGAAAAGTCCTGGAGCCCCAGGCTCCATGGGCACGTTTGTGGGGAGCAGAGAGCCCAGCAGACGTACGGGCTCATCGGGAGACTGCGAGACAGCGAGCCCAGTGCTGTCATGGAGCAACAGCAACTTTGACTCCTATAATGAGCCCCAGCAATTGGACTCCCTTGGCAAATCATCCAAAATAAACAGCATCTGTTTTCACAGATGGAGAAAATTAAGACATACTAGCAACTTAGTTTGAAGTTATAAGGCCAGACATAAATAAATGAGAGGCAATCTTTCCATAAGATGGTGGCTTGATTACTGAGGATACAGACAGATGAATAAATCACCTTGGGGTGAGATAGGCTGTAACTTGCTACACATCCATGAGACTGGAGTAACTGCTCATGTGTATCCTCTAAGCCTGAAGGAAACGCGAGGTAAGTGGTATTGCTGAAGGGATCTGCAGGGTAGGAGCACACACATGGGCAGTTACTGCAAATTAGCTGATGCTCTGCAAGTTCACACCCTGATTTGCCTTATGGTAGCTTTTTAATCTCCGTCCATTACTGTCTGGCCTCCTTGAATTTACATAACTGTAAAGAACCAAGAAAACAAGCAGAGAAGTGATGTGGCACGCTAGGAGCTTTCTTTGAAAAACTATCCTCTCAGAAGTCAACTGAAGTGCATTGAAACCCACTACTTCAAAGGTTTTAAGTCTGGTTTATTGACTGGAAGGAAGATGATGGTAAGATAACTAAATCTTGGAGTACCTTCACATGAAGGCTCAGAAACCCAGGCACAAAGCTGGAGACTGACTCAATACAAACACTGGTGTTTGAGCGTGCCAGGACGAGGAGCGGGAGCCAAAGGAAGCGGCAGGAACGTGGGTCTGCCATGGGCCCTTGGATTTTTCCAGCTCATTCACCTTTTCCCATGTTGGGCTGCTCCACCTAATGACCAGGTTGCTGTGGTCAGTTACTTAGAAGTTGAAATCGTTGTTCTTCCCCATGCCGCAATTAGTGCCAAGGCTTTTTGGCATCTCTCTCCCATGAGCCTTTTCAAGCCAACAAAGTCTTACCTCCAGTTCTACCTGATGACAGAGCTCCCAGGTTTATACATAAACTAAGGCAAAAATTCAGGCTCTTGAAATACTTGGCATACAGCTTTTAAGGAAGTCTGGAAAAGACAGTGCTGTTATTGCCCAAAGTCCTGCTCCCCTTCCAGGAGAATCAAAGGGAGATGACTTCAGTCTGTGCTTTGAAGCTGAAGGGATAGGGGGATGATGGTCCATACGCTGCGGTTCAATACTGGATGAACCAAGTCATTTTCTCTGTCCTCTTTTTGGTCTATGAAGATGCCAAGGAAGGAAGATCTGAGCCAAAATCCTTCCCACATCAGGAAGGCTGTCAAAGGCCTTTCAGTATTGTACATGTCAATGGTTCTAGTTCTGCCTTGACCTTTTCATAGCCTGGGACACCATTCCTGCGTGGCCCAGAGTTGCGTGGGAGTCATTCAATTTGTCTTAACTTTATGCAAGGTCTTTCCCTTGGGGCCACCATTGCTGTGAGCTGTCAGTAGGCTGAGAAACAGGACAAGAAGGCAGGGAGTGATTGAGCATTTCTTTTCTACAAGGCATCAGAGCCCTGTCTCTCAAATCCAGCAGAGTCCTCCGAGGTGCAAATCTGTTCAGAGGTAAAGGCTGAAGAGCAGGTTGTAGCGCAAAAGCCCTGCTGAGCTGCCTGCTGAGGTCCACCTCATCTCAGATAAGGCAATGAAAAATCACCATCACCCGAAGGGCCTGTATTCTTCCAAGAAGCCCCCCAGAGTGACTAAAGACATTGGAGATCAAGTGCTCCAGAAATCCCACCAACGCTACAGAAGTCACACAAGAACAGGGCTTTTGGGACATTTTAAAGCAACCTCTTTAGAAATCTCCAGGGAGGGAGGAAGGGTCAATCGGCTTCAAGAGCACCCGAGTAGCCAAATGCCTGGATTATGTTAGTCCGGGAATCAGCCTGCAGCAATCAGGCTGTCCTTCTTTAGCACCTCTGTACCTGCCACAAGATGATTCTCTGATCAGACCTTCTGCAAGCTTTCTAAAAGGGCAAAAAAAAGAAAGCAGATGATGAAAAGAAAGGAATGACAACATCTCTAAAAGCCATCTGCAATTCCTAGGCACAATCTACCTAGTCTTTAGCCACAGTTACCAGCCCTGGAAAAGCTCCAAGAATGAAGCGATGAGGTTGTTCTGCAGATATAGAGGCTGCAAGAGACGCTATCAAGAACCTTCAATGACATCCTTCAGGGATGTATGCAGATGTGCAGTCCTAGAGAGCAAGGGCCGGGACTGGCACCAGTGAAGGCAGCAAGAACAACATTTCTCATTTTTACTTTTGTGAGCCATCAAAAAGAAAAAATAGGGGCAAAAGAAACCAGATCACATCCAACACCCTGAAGACAAAATTTGAGCCTTCATCTGCTGAAGTGACAAAGGGTTGGGAGCACAGGGAAAAGACGTCTCACCCTCGCTGCCATGCTCATTACAATACATGAGCATCCTTCTTTGAGTCCCCTGCAGCCCTTTTCATCAGTGCCTTTAGATGCAGCTCTGAAAGTGGCCTTGGGGAAGAGCAAAACGAGCTACCAAACTGCAGCGAGATGCGTGCCCACCCTACAGCACCTCACTACCCAGCTCTCTGGGTTTCTCCGTCAGCTGCCAGCAGAGGAGGTGCAGGCAAGATTTCTGCTCCCTCCCCTCCTTTTCCTCCTTTCTTTTCACATTTTGAGGCCCTGCTGGGAAAGGAAGGGTTGAAGGATTTCTCCTTCCCTTTCCTCCTGGCCCAGCCACTCCAAAATAAACAGCCCCCAGCAAAGAAACACAGTACTGCTTAATAAATTTACCCTGTAAGAACAGAGATTTCATACAAGAATGGATTATTTCCAAGGGTACTAAGATAATTACATGGGTAACTAGGAAGAGTTCAAGAAAACAGTTTGAATTTTCTTATCAGTTTCCCATAGCTTCAAGCAAAAAGAAAATAAAATGCTCCTCTGTAATCAAATCATGTTTTCTGAAGCCCTCTGTTGGCAAGTACACAATTTCTTCACCACTTCCATTAAAACAGAAATACTTAGAAGAAAATGATAGCATTTCAAAATGGAAACAAGTGGGGCCCAAAAGCACGACGTCAGCTGCTCACAGTATGTTCTTACCTGGTGGGAACATGATGCCATGTGAAAAAATACCCCCCTTCCCACCAAAAGACAAAACTACCTCTCGCTGACTGCAGGGCAGGAGCGGGGCCATGGCCAGTACCTGCGGCACTGAGGTGCTCACCAGGTGCGAACTTATTCCTGCATCTAAGGATGCAACAAACAAGGATTTCTCCCATTACCTCAGCAAATGCCTGTAATATTTCCTCTGTCAAACCTCACCCTCGCCACAGTGTCTAACTCCAGAAGTGGCTATTTACCAGCAAGAACAGCGGTGACACACAGGTATGCCCCAGTGCTGACCAGTAAGGATCTATGGGAACACACAGCATACACTTCTGAAAAGGAGATTTTTGACATCCTTTTGAAGGGCTACCAATGAAGCTATCACAGAAGACCCAGCTATCTCCATGGAAGACAAGTATCTCCTCCTGACTTCTGAGATGCATCCCTGTGGTTTTGGTTGCCTTCCTAGTTTCCCAAGAATAAAATTTTTGGAGATTTAGGCTCGAGAGGACAGTCAGGTTTCATCCCAGATGCATACTTCTGAGCTACAATGAACCCTCTCCAGCTTCTTCCGTACCAGGTCTGGGCTTTCACAAGTATAATGCCTCTTTCGCTAATGTCCATGTGTATGATTTTAGGAGTTCACTGCTGGTACCACAAGACCTAAAGAAAAGTGCAGGTTATAAATATACAAATTAACCAACTTGAGTCACAGCACTTTAAAAGTGTAGATGTTTAGCATCAAGCTTAAAATGATTAGGGTCAAATTATACAAGTTAAGGCCATTTATATCAATCAACAGTGTGACCAGTCGTTAAAAAATAGGCGGGAGGAAAAAGAGTGTTAAACTTAGAACCTTTACAGCATGTGGAACAACCTTTCACAGATAGTTTCAAAAGCAGAAAACACACATTTATAAAGAAGTAAAGGCATTAAATAGCATTTTCGATACATTTTGAAGAGTATCGCACCCACTCCTGCCAAACTAATCAAAGCTAAAGATGGCAAAGACAGACATTGAACACAAACACGGACTGGGGCGAAGCGTTACGCCGCACCAGGGTGCCTGAGCCTGGCATCACCTGGATGGGGTCCTGGCGATGGCTGGCAGGGAGGGAGAGCGCTGGGGAAGCCCAGCCCGACTCCCTGCTCTCCAGTACAAGCCGGTTAGGCTTTCTGGGACAGAACCACAGCACATCTCCAGCCTGACCCTCCAAAACTCCTCGTGCCATGCTGAACATACCCTGTTCAACAGGAAACTCAGCCTACAAGGAGGCACACAACACACGAGCTTACAGCCTGGTAGGAAAACCAGGTAAGATCTGTACTGCAGAAGACGATGTAAATAAATGTAGGTCCCCCCCAAATAACCCCCAATTCACAATTCAAAAACCAGGCACAAGCACGCCAGGTAAACCAGCAGCACACCGGCAAGCACACACACGCTCTACCTGAAACCCAGAGTACTCAAGCTAGAGATTTACTCTACTAGTTCTAAAACTGTGATTCCACTGATGGACTACACCGCCTGTTTCTTGGCAAACTTCAAATTCCAGACTCTGTAAATACTGAGTATAGTTATAGGAACAACATCTCA